TCCCCCACCTACAGTTAGTAAAACACCCCCCCCCCCTTCCCTCCAGTCAGCCACTGTTTACGGAAATACTGTATTGTATTCTTTTCCAACCTCCAAGACATCTTTCGTCTTGGTGGCCAGATTAGATGAGATAAAGAGACTTATTTTTATTAACCCCCCCCCCCCCACCTCCCAAAAAAAGCTTGACTGTGAAATCTCAAGAGCATGATGCTGCATGTTCGGATAGGAGATGACGAACGAGGGTCTTGAGTGGGAAATCTGTTCGACGTGGTGCGCAGGGGGGGAACAAAAGTTGACCACTCGGTCGAAAAGAAAAAAAGAAATACAAACAATCTCATACCAAAAGGCGCCTGGAATGTTTCCATTCGCCCTTTTTTTTTTTCGGTTGTCAAAAGCGCCGTCTTCGCCTTTTATGCTTCTCCGAGGTAGTTGCGCTTTCATTCGTCTGCCCTTCTTATCTCTTCTGTTTTCTCTGTCTGGCGCTTTTTTTTTTTTTTTTTGGAAATTCTTTTTCCTCCCGAACACTTTTCTATGAACAGACGCCTCCGCTCAAAATGCAAATGAAACAGACAGATGAAGTTGCCACGGGGGGCTGTTACACACACACACACACACACGCACACACACACACACACACACACACACACACACACACACACAGTCAACGGCAGCATCTGTCGGCGTCCGTCTCCGCTGGCTTCGAGGAGCTTTCGACAGCAACAACTTGAAATGACTTGAGAGGCGGCGGTGGCGGGCGCAGATGACGATTCGCCCATAGCCAAGTCACGTTTTTGCCGCAAATGCCAATCACACACACACGTGTTAATAACGATGTCACCAAAACGCATGGAAAAACGATCCCATTTCAGTCTCCGGGGGGAAGAAGTGATGTGGCACGAGCTGTGATGAAAAGCAGACTTTATGTTACACGTGTGCATGACTGCGAATGCATTTGCGCCAATGAATGACATTCTGTCCGCGCGTTATTGGAGCACACAAGAGAGGTTCTGTCTTGTGGAACGGCCAAGCCATGAGTGAGCAAGTCAAACAGTAGCGGGACAGTCCACGCAGGATTAAACGTGTTGTTGGGATACTCTGTGGATCTAAAATTCCGGCGGGTGGGTCTGGTTGGCCGTGCTATGCACTTTCTGGGCAAGTAAGTAAGCAAATGGTCTGTCTTGACGATGCTCAATTGAAATGAACGAAGCCAACATTCCGATTATGGTTTGGATCCATCGCTTGCATTTCTTGTGGGTTTATTTTTTATTTTTTTAAATTTTTTTGCAGTTAAGGTCAATCTGGTTACAATGCGGATACGATGTCGTTTTGAGCGTGGCTTTTGGGGGCGTTCGGAGGAAGATAAACGATGCTCCCTGCGGCCCCCAAAAAAGACATTTGTGTTAGTTCACCCCAAAATTTCATCTGGATCAGTGGCTCTTAACCTTTTTTGGGG